TGGTGTTAGTTTTCCTCCATCCAAAGAGAAACATTTTTCCTTTCCCTTCATTAAAATATTCAGCTTTTTAATTGTCTAACTTAAAAGTCTCATAAAATGTTTTGCAGGTTCTGGTTGTAAAATGACAGAGGGGCTGCATACTACTGACAGCACCTCTAGAGGTTAAAAAAAATAGAAGCTCTACCCACTTCCTGTTACTTTCTCTTCCCTCATTATTTCATCACCTCCCCTCCCTTGTCCATCACCCCTCTCCCCCTCCTCAGGGAACGGAGAGCTTAGCAACAAGGAGTTCATAGCCATCATGAAGCAGCGGCTGATGCGTGGGCTGGAGAAACCCAAAGACATGGGCTTCACCCGCCTGGTGCGTGCCATGTGGAAGTGCGCCCAGGACACCGCCTGGGACTTCGCCACTCCGAAGACGTAATGGACACCCCTTCAGACGTGGAGAGAGATAAAGACGGGGACGCTCCCATTGAGAGAGGATCGACATGAACTCAGTGAAGCTGCAGCTCTGAGGGCCATCATCAGTAATTATTGCATGCTGCTGCCATTAATCCAGTGACTGAAGCAAACCTGAACAGCTCTCTTCTCTGGTGCCTTTTTTAGGCCTGGCATTCTACTTGTATGTTTCACAATATTGCAAAGCTTCTGCTTATTTTTTCTCATATTTTTTTTTTTTATTTTCAGAGCTGAAAACACTAATATATTCCTTTTTCTTCCTTTGTGAGTTCAGTAATACTCAATTTTTACTGACAGCTTTTCAGTTAAATTTGCAACAAGCAAACTGAGTCCTGCTTCTGTTGTCTTTATATTCCTCACCAGTTTGTCCAATAAAAAAAACAGTGAAATGCTTCTCTGACTCATATGAACCTTTAAAGAAATATCCTATTAAAGATGTTTTAATAAATTCAAAGCCTCATTCTTCTTCTTAGACTGAATTTTAGAGATTAGCTGGATTAATAACCTGCTTAGTCATTAGTTAGATTTAATGAAGAGTTGTATAACATGTTTATGTGAGAGTCTGGGAGTCATAACGAGTCTGGAAAGAAAAGACAAATAAAAGCAATGGATGTTTGCGCAGCAACAGTCAGCAGTTTCTTCTAATTGAAATGGAAAAGGATGGGCAGTCCTCTGCCTCTGCTGCCCATTAAAAGATTGTCCTGCAGCGTCCTCGCTCACACAGACAAAATCGCCGCACCGCTGCGCCATCGGCCTGAAGCCTGCAGCCCTGCTCTCCCTCTCTTCTATAACCACTGGCGGGCGGAACTGGTGCTGAGGAGTGATTTCTAGGCAGGAGATTGGGGTCCAGGGCGTCCCATCAGTATTCCTCAGCCGTGTTCTTCCCTGGAGTTTACGTCTGGAATTGCAATCGCATAGAAATCCAAATGTTTTAATTAAAAGAGATTTATCTCTGAAAACAGCCTGCCTTCCTGGTTTGGGAATCTTGAGACTATTTCAGAACCCATCACTGTAGACTGGAGCTGTATCCCAGCAGCAGACAGATCTCATAAAGCCCAGCTTGTTTATGTAAATGGATCACATTCTTATTTTTTAGGAGGTTTAAACATTAATCATAAAAACTGTTTTTGATATTTGAAGATTAATTTGTACTGGAATATAACCAAGCCTCATCAAGCCACTTTGGGCCTATTAATAAACCATGATGTTACAGCTGCAAACTTCAAGGATTTTTGATCATTTGTATTCAAGTCCAGTTGCTCCAGTGCCCTTAAATAACTAATTACCCTCAGCTGCCACCCATTTGATAGAGTCCACATGTGTAATGTTATCTCTAAAACTCCAGCTGTTCTAAGTATATCCAGCTGTTTTTTTGTTGTTTTTTTTCTACAGGAAACTTTATTGACAAAAGTTGTACAAATAAATTTTTTTATAGAAAACAGCAGTAATGTGCCCTGATAAAGAAGCCATAAAGAAAAACGATATAAACACATTACTCTTTAAAACATTTTTTAAAAAATGTGCCTTTTTTTAGGAGTCACTTGGTGAGCTCATGCATGAAAACGGAGAAGTTATGGAATATTTACATTTATTTATGTGAAATTTGTAAGACAGAATCAATAGATTTGCAATAAAGATAATGCAAATATTTCCATCCATGAAAAAAATACAAGATTATACTTCTACAGTCAACTACAATGTTTGTCATTTTACACACTACCTGTTATTTTAAGAGGCTGCAAAGGACTTAAGACTGAGATACATGCATATTCATGCCACACTTTTCAGATTTAACTATTTCTATAAGCTCTACAGTACTGCCTTCATATATCAGAGTAAAATCTTTCTAGAATGTGCTGAAGTTTGTTTGTAGTGTGGTATAATAATAAGGGAACTAAATCATTCCTACAAAGTAGAGAACTTCAGTAACATTAAGCAGAATGTGATTCTTACCTTTTCTTAGCTGATCTGGTTCTATGAATACAAAACTTCTTCAATAAAGGTAAGAAAAATGTTCTTTTCTGATCAACTACAACCACTGTCGGAAACAACCAATATCTGACATCTAACACTTAAAATGTTCCGCTCACATGCTTTCTGTGGGCAGTGAGTGACAGAATCTGCCAACATAAATGTGGATTTTCCCCCCCTCTGTTATGCTGTAAAGCACTAAAGCTGCACTCTAAAAGAACCAACCCAGAGTTTTCATCACAGCAGGCTGTAGAATTTGACGAGCTGATGCTTACATGAAGCTGATGGACACTGCAGACAGAACAGTTTTTTTTGTTTTTTTAAAGTGATCTGAAATATGACATTAAATCTTTATTCAAGCTTGAGAGGAATGCAGCTAAGGGGCTGATATTCTGACTGACAGCTCCGGTGAGTTTAAGGGTTCTGAGACCGTTTCATGGGATTATATTCCAACTATGTGAGCTGAACGTTAAATTGTAGCTGGTTTTTCAAGCACTATCCTCACACATCTTGACAGGCTTTTTAGTGAAGCCCAGAGCAGAGAGTTGTGCAGCCAGGACACAGAAACCCACTGAGAGCTGCTCCACATCATCAAGTGACTGTTTGCACACTGGACTCTATTCCACATTTACACAGAGGTGCTTTACTGTCCTCTGGAGGCTCTGAGGGGGAAATAACCCAAACAGTTCTATCACCTATTTAATACCTCATTCATTTTATACATTCTCTATTAAACCTGTTGGTTCTTCTTAGAGTGGTGTCCAAAGTGGTCCGTGGACATGGGGATTATCTTGTGAGGTTCGTTACCAACATGCAGATACATGTTTATAGAATTATAAGGTTAGATATGTTAAAGATAAAGACCTGTGAAAAACATCATATAGGCAATTTAAAGTTAATCACAAAGCAGTTTTATTTTTGTTTTAAAATGAACATACAGAGACACCACATATCAAACTTTCCTATTCAAAAGGAAGAGTGATATCATTTTCTTGTCGATAAAACACTACAAATAAAAAATATATTTATATTATTAAAATACAAACCTGCCATTTCTTGCTGGTTTTCTTTGTCTATTTGAGACATATTGTATCCAAAGGTATTTATTGAGTATCTTTCTACAGCTGTCAGACTGCTCCGCTGGTTTCCTTCAAATATTACATTCTTAGTTTACTGTTCTGTAGTTTAAAAATAAGAGAGAAAAAAGGGTGCTATAATTTTGAGGCGCCTGAGAACTCTTAAGATTTTTGCCCCCCCATGGTAAACGGTTTGGAATCCACAGACCAACACAAAGTGCTTCTGGAGTGGGAAAAAGGTATTCAACTAGGTATTTGAATTAAATAAAGAGAATCATTTCATTTTCTTTGCAAAGAGAGAACAAAATAGCATAATGTTCAGCCCTGCTTTGGATAGACAAAGTTTATCTATATCACCAATTTAAACCCTGCAGAAAGGCCGTGGAGGTCTCCACATACCATTACTAAAATAAAATTACAGTTGGAGAAATTAGTAAAATGTTATGAAGATAAACCCTGAGAAATAGTCTAGCTTTTTATGAGAACAATTAATTTCATCCCAAACACTCCCTAGGAAAAACAACTCCTCTCCCTTGGACACTTTGTAGCCTTGCAGCTGAGAAATGAATGAACGAAACTCAGCACCCATAAATCAATATATGTAATAGGGAATTAATAGGAGAATAATTTTTTCCCCATCACAGGGTCATTATTTCAAAATGAAAGGAAATTTATTCTAAGATTAAAAATCTTTGGTTTCTGTTGCAACTACAATTCATTAACGAATATTTCTCTGCCAGTCTTTGAGGTAGAGACATATTTATCAAAACACGTTAAATTTAACTAAACTGAGAACATCTTTGAACATCAATTTGTGTGTCAGAGATTTTCAAACAGACTTTGACTAGGCTGTTGTTGTAAATATAGCTCAATCGCCCCGCTGAAGAACAATTGGGTTGAACTCTCACCAGCATTGTTTTCCACTAGATTTAGTTTCATCCATCCTCTCACCTTCTCCAAGCCTGGTGAACAAAAAAAATCCCACATCATAATACTGCCATCATTATGCTTTACCATGTACCTGGTCTTCTCAGGAGGGTGATGAGGCACTTTTGAGTACTTTGAAAAATTTACTTCTAGGACTTTCATTGTATTTATACTAGTGTTTTTTTCCCCCAACTGTCCAAAAGTCTTTTAGATTACCACTATTTGTAGATCTCCATTCTCAGATGAACTGCAAACTCTTGTGCGTGAGGTTATGACACCTCAACGTTTCTTCCATGATTCTTTTGTCACTGTACTTCAACAAACTTCTTCTTAAACAGAATGCAGAACAATCTGGTGCCTACAATAAATTGAACTTGTAAATTTTCCAGACATCTAAGAGCATGAACAAAAGAAAAGCAACATTTTTATTGGTACCACTGTCAACTCTCTGTCTATAGCTCTGCTCCATCCTGTGTTGATCTTTTTCAACAAACGCATAAAAATTTGTAAAATTTGAGCAGTACAGACAATTTAGCAGGGAGTAACAATAATCCCTTGACACCAACATTTATTCTAGGGTTTTATTTAAAGATAGAATAAAAAAAATTCGTGGTACGTACATTCTCATACAGTACATGGAAACTGAAACAAATATGGCTCCATTATCACTGATGAACAGAACAGGGAGGGGTTAACATGGGCGTCCTTGCATCAAAACAGGATCAAAGCAAATTTTCCTTTAGAAAATATGGAGCAGACGTCAATGGTCCTGATAATCCAAATGGAATAAAACTTGACTATAAATACCTTATAAAACTTTAATGTTTAATGTGATTGTAAGAGAAAAAAAGCCCAAATATTCCCCTCTCAAACTCAGAAATAAAATTGAACGCTACCTCAGATCCATTTTAAACAAAGAGGAAGGAAAAAAAAAAAAAAGATCATTACAGTCTTTTCTCCAAACAATGAGTTTGTTAGGTTGGATGGCTGTCATTCACCACGAGCTAACTGACAAATTAACCTACATAAAGAAAATGACGGGATGTTTATAGGATGAAGGGACAGGTTAATTAACCAGAGATGACAAACATTGGCTCCATTTTATCAACTGGTGGCCTGCAGCCACCTAGTGGCCATAAGTAGTAACATCATACAAATGAACTGTGCAGTCTTGATGACACAGCTGGGAACATCTGCATCATTGATAAGATTTCCGTCACCTTAAATCTGATCAAATGTTGCCTAAAGGTAGGAAAATAAATCAAAGTGCCAGCTAGACTCCTCGCTCAGGTGAAGTGCCTCAGACGTGGCGGTGACAGATGGTTCCCAGGAGGACCAAATCAGAGTCCTGTTCACAGTTTCACTGGGATCAGGAGGGGATCAGTCACTTTCAAACTTGATAGAGTTGATTGTGGTGGAAATGGCTCCGCCCCGGTAGCTCCCTCTCTTCTTTTTCGTCTTTTCGTGGCGGAAGGACTTTCCTTTGGTGAACTTTAGCGTCTCGTTAGCTTTCTGTCCCCAGTCTCCGTTGGCTCCACGCTGAAAGAAAAAGGGAACATTAAAACATTGGAAACCCCTTCAGCTGAATATTAAAGGTTGCTGGTATAAGAGGAAACTCACCTTAGCTTCAAATGAGTTATCTGCCAGTCGGGGATCAACCTCTACGTGCTCCTCCACTATTCTACGGAAGGGTACGTTGGACTGCAACAAAATTAGAGCCATCAGCCTCTCCTCAGCAAACTATCTGAATTTAGCCGCCATAGCTTTAACAGATCTTACCTTCTTATTGGCTTTTGGGAAAGTCTGTGGCGTTGTGGTCACTTTCTTGTTTTTTGGAGTCTTTTTATCCTCTTCGCTCTCTGATGACTCTTCGCTGCGCTTTCTCTTTCCATTTGTATCTGCAGAAGTTAAAAGACTTCAGTCTCATTTTCACATTCAGAGACAACAGTTCATGGTAGCATGTGTAAAATTATCAACCATCTGTGTGTCATGACAGGTCTGTGATTTTAATGTGACACCATGGCAAAGTCTAAAGTTAAAATCATGGATCTGAACCCCTTTTAGACTGTGTGGAACTCACAGTTAGCTGTGGGTGTGTTGGGTGCAGTGGCTGCTTTACGTGGAGCTTCCTCCTCCTCCTCCGATGAACTGTCTGATGAGCTGCTACTCTCTTTGCTTTTAGCTGCTGGGGTCGTCTTACTCTTTGCTGCTGCAGGTTTAACTTTGCTGGCTTCCTCCTCTTCAGAGCTGCTCTCACTGGATGAGGACTCGGCAGGCTTACCTGCCACCTTTGCTGCTGTTGTGCTCTTAGGAGTTGCTGCTTTGCCGTTGGAGACTGCAGGTTTAGCAGGCGGGGCCTCATCTTCAGAGTCAGAGCTATCTGAGGAGTCAGAGCTGCTCTCCTTTGCTTTTTTTCCTGCAGTAGCTTTGCTTGAACCTTTAGCAGCTGGGCTCGGTTTCTTGGCTGCAGGCTTGGCTGATTCATCCTCTGAGCTCTCAGATTCAGAGCTGCTTTTTGTTTTAGCAGGTGTAACAGCCTTTGAGGCTCCAGCCACTTTAGCTGCAGCCTTTGAAGCTGGAGTAGTGACTGCAGATTTGGGTTTAGCTGCTTCCTCATCTTCAGATGAGGAGTCGGAGTCAGAACTGCTCTCTGATGCTGCTGCAGGTTTTGCTGCAGTTTTAACAGGCTTTGAGGCTGGAGTAGTAGCCTTTGCTGTGGGTGTGGCAGGCTTTGAAGATGGGGTCGCTGCTTTAGTGACTGCAGGTTTGGGTTTGGCTGCTTTCTCGTCTTCAGAAGATGAATCAGAGTCAGAACTGCTCTCTGATGCTGCTGCAGGCTTTGCTGCAGTTTTAACAGGCTTTGAGGCTGGAGTAGAAGCCTTTGCTGTGGGTGTGGCAGGCTTCGATGCTGGGGTAGCTGCAGGTTTGGGTTTGGCTGCTTCTTCATCTTCAGAAGATGAATCAGAGTCAGAACTGCTCTCTGATGCTGCTGCAGGCTTTGCTGCAGTTTTAACAGGCTTTGAGGCTGGAGTAGAAGCCTTCGCTGTGGGTGTGGCAGGCTTTGAAGATGGGGTCGCTGCTTTAGTGACTGCAGGTTTGGGTTTGGCTGCTTCTTCATCTTCAGAAGATGAATCAGAGTCAGAACTGCTCTCTGATGCTGCTGCAGGCTTTGCTGCAGTTTTAACAGGCTTTGAGGCTGGAGTAGAAGCCTTCGCTGTGGGTGTGGCAGGCTTTGACGCAGGGGTAGTCGCTTTAGTTACCGGTTTGGGTTTGACTGCTGGTTCATCTTCAGAATCAGAACTGCTCTCTGATGCTGCAGGTTTTGCAGCAGCTGGCTTTGATGATCCAGCTGCTGTTTTAGCTGCAGCCTTTGAAGCTGGAGTAGCTGCTTTAGTCACTGCAGGTTTGGGTTTGGCCGCTTCTTCTTCAGAAGATGAATCAGAGTCAGAACTGCTCTCCGCTGCTGCTGCAGGTTTCACTGCAGTTTTAACAGGCTTTGAGGCTGGAGTAGCTTTTCCTGCTGTTGGCTTTGACTTGGTTTGCTCTTCTTCGTTTTCTGACGACGAGTCTAAGCTGCTCTCTGCCGCAGCAGAGGCCTTCGCTGCAGATTTTGAAGCCGGCGTACCCACTTTAGGGGTTGTTGGTTTGGTTTTTGCAGGCTCTTCATCTTCAGAGGAGTCAGAGTCTGAGCTGCTCTCTGCTGCCTTGGCTGGAAGTTTAGAAGCAGCAGTGGTGGCTTTTGGAGTCGCAGCTTTAGTGGGTGGTTTTGGTGGAGCCTCATCTTCAGAGCTGCTTTCTGCAAAGATAACACACAGCTACCATTTAAAAACATTAGCAAGACTAGAATTAGCATAAAGAATTCATGACAACAACCTGAGGGCAACAAAATTAGAAATGACATGAAATGATTCTTTTTAGTGTTCTTCACCTGAGCTGGAGGTCTCATCTTTTTTTGTAGTGACAGTTTTTGCAGGAACAACTTTGGCTACTGGTTTTTTAACCGTCTTCTGTTCCTCCTCTGAGCTGGAGTCCTCTGAGGAGGAGGAGTCCTCCTCCTTAGCGGGAGTAACTGGTGCAGAGGTTTTAGCAGGCGCAGGCTTGGCAGGAGGCGCCTTTGCTGCAGCTTTTTTCTTCACCTGCTGCTCTTCCTCTGAGCTCGAGTCCTCCTCAGAGTCCTCTGTTGTAGCCGGAGCAGCTTTAGCCGGAGTAGCTTTAGCCGGAGTAGCTTTAGCCGGAGTAGCTTTAGCCGGAGTAGCTTTAGCTGGGGCAGCTTTAGCTACAGGCTTCTTTGGTTCATCGTCATCAGAACTTGAATCTAAGACAGGAATAACACTGGAATTTGTCATTTCACGCGTTTTTTTTAGGTTCACAGCAAAAGTATAATCAGGTCCAGGCTTACCAGAGCTCTCCGAGCTGGATTCTTCCTTTTTTGCCTGAGGTTTGGTCGCTGCAGGTTTTGCACTGGTCTTCTTTACAGGAGCAGGTTTTTCTGTAACATTTACAGTGCTTTTAGTTAAAGGAATAGTACACCCAAAACATGATTAGCCTTCATTTTCTACTCACCCCCATGCTGAACAACACTCTGGAGTACTTTTTTGATATCTCAAATGCATCTGGAGATCTGGGAGGCTTCTTGCTGTCTGCTGACATTCAAATAATGGAGGTCTATGGTGCCCGAGGCAGAAAGGTCCATAAAAGTCCACAAAAAACGTGTCAATATTTCTCCATACTGCTCGTCCAATGTAATCCAAGTGTCCTGAGTGGGTAGCATCCAGAATTTACTCGAAACGAAGTCATTTAGAACGTTTTAGAGCCTAAACAGTAGTGTATAGGATTTCCTAATAGCGCCCCCATGCGCGCTCACGATTCTACGGAAGCCGGCAGACCAAACCAGCGCATTCAGCTCGGCAAATAACTCATGCTCTTCCTCATCACTGAAGTCCTCAGACATTTTTCTTTCGTTGTTTCTTTCTTTGCACAGGTAAACAGCACATTTCTTCTTCTACGCTTGCATTATCGGCAGAGCAGACGCTGAATGCGCACTTTCTTCCGGTTTGGTCTGCCGGCTTCCGTAGAATCGTGAGCGCGCATGGGGGCGCTATTAGGAAATCCTATACACTACTGTTTAGAATCTAAAACGTTCTAAATGACTTCGTTTCGAGTAAATTCTGGATGCTACCCACTCAGGACACTTGGATTACATTGGACGAGCAGTATGGAGGAATATTGACACGTTTTTGTGGACTTTTATGGACCTTTCTGTCTCGGGCGCCATGGACCTCCATTATTTGAATGTCAGCAGACAGCAAGAAGCCTCCCAGATCTCCAGATGCATTTGAGATATCAAAAAAGTACTCCAGAGTGTTGTTCAGCATGGGGGTGAGTAGAAAATGAAGGCTAATCATGTTTTGGGTGTACTATTCCTTTAAGGTGTTAAATCTTTTGAAAAGCCAGGCTGAACAAATGGGGAACCTCTTACCAGCCACCTTCTTTTCCTCATCACTGCTGTTGTCGCTGCTGTCTGAGGACTCACTTGCCTTGGCTTTGCTGGCGGCCGCTGCAGCAGGAGCCTTATGGATGGAAGCAGGAGGAGGGACGGCGCTGTATGCCCCTAATAACACAGGAGGACATTTGGATTATAATGTTACTATTGCAACATAGAGGTCCCTAAACCAATGAGGTTTTCTTATTCTTGTGTAAGGCACTTCTGGGCAGAGCCTTTTTCTCACATCATGCCTGATAACAGTTGTGTAATTGGTCAGGATTTGGATAAGTGTCATTAAGCAGGAAATGCAAAGAGGAATCTCTGCTTTGATTTCAGCAAAATAAATCTGGACAGTGGTCCGTTATGTAATAATTAGAATTAGAGCTGTATTTATAATATTGTGATATCAAACTGTAAATTTTCCTTTTATGGTTATCATAGGGTTAGAATTTCATACGGACCAAGAAGAAGAAACTTCCCAGAAAGTAGGAAATTTCTAATTGTTTTTTTGTTGATGTGGTTCTGCTTAACATAATGATCCCATTTGATTAACTTTGAATTCAGCAGAATGTAACCTGAGAGATTCTATCAGATGGATTAATGCAACTGAACAGCATTTTTTTTTTTACAATAAGTGAGCAGAATAAAATATTTCATAGAGTTCTTAGGAGGCTTAAATTATTACTTTAATTTCTCAGTATTTAACCAAGTAAAAAAAACAAACCTGCTTTGGGTTTCTTGCTTGGCGGAGCTTCATCCTCAGATGAAGATGAGTCTTCACTGCTGGATTCAGCAGGAGCTGCAGCCTTCTTTACTGGAGCAGGCTTAGCGGGAGCCTTACAGAACACAAAATAAGCCATTAGTACATTATCAACACATTTATACACTGATGCTGGGGGAACCTTTTCCTGTTTACCTTTGCTGGTGGCTCATCTTCAGAATCAGAAGAGCTATCTTCACTGCTGCTCTCCTGCTTCTTCTGAGCTGCTCCTTTAGCAGAAACCGCTGCTTTGGCTGCAGTCACGCCTTCTGTTATCAACAACAGAGCACATTTTAACTGGTTTCCATTCTCGTGATTGTAACTCATAATGGCCTCGGACTTACTGGCAGCAGGAGCTTTGGTAGGCTGCTCATCTTCAGAGTCCGACTCTTCGCTGCTGGAGCTGCTGTCCTTCTTCCTTGTGCTGCCAGCAGCTGCAGCAGCAGCCTTAACAGGAGCCTACAGACACCAACCTTCATTTTAGGAACTTGGTGAAATTTAAAGTCTTTAACTGATTGATTTAAGTATAAGGATTTTGCCCACCTTTGCAGGAGTCTTCTCCTCCTCAGAGTCGCTTGAGTCCTCACTGCTAGAGCTTTCTGCACTGGGTCTGGCTTTCTTGGCTGATGGCCCATTAACAGACCCCGGATCATTAGGAGCTGCTTTTCGTTTCTTGGCTTCAGGAGACCTTGTCAATGAAAATGAAATTAACGCTAAGAAACTAGATTACCTACAATCAGCTCTTGAAAGTACATTCTCTCACACCTGATCACAATTCAAAAAAAGCATTAGAAGCACAAAGGATTTCAACTTATCTACAATTATTAACGATGAAGTAATAGTTCTCACTAAAAGGATTGAGATATTCCAAATCAGCTTTTTCACCTCTCTCCCTTCATTGGTTCAGGAAACTTTTTTGTAAATAACACTTTCTAAATCTTGTTAAAAGTAGAAATGGCCTCTCCTTGTTTCCTCTTCGTCTGATTGAGCCTCCAGTCATGCAGTCAGCAGTAATAAACTTGTTGGAGGACATTTGTTGCATCAAATTAAATAAACATCCATTAAACCCAACATTCAGACATCTACATAAAACAGGGGAACAGGAATATGCTTTAATTTAATTCCTGTTAGTTTTAAAGACGACTCAGCTGATGAAACCCCAAAATTTAAAACGATTGGAACGTCACTGAAGACTGATGAGTATCCATCAACTGAATACCAGAGATCCACTGATCCAATACATATACACACACCAGTATTGAAGAACATACTAGATCAGATGTTGGAGGAAATGGCCCCGATCCATAGAAGCAGTTGGTCCTTTTTTAATTACAGATTTAAGTTTTGTTAAAAATATAATAATTGGTAGAAAGGTTTAACCCTTTCTAGGCATCAATCTTTGATTTAATAAATACAATCTGTTTGAACCCTTATAATTGCACATTCGTTTTGGGGGGGGGGGGGGGGGGGGGGACTTCTTTCTGTTAAGATAATTTGCTGTTTTGATCGTTTCATTTTCTGAACTGTCTTTAGGCATATACAAGAGTACATATGCTTGCTTATAGAAGGAAGTTTATGGCATACTTAAAAAAATAAACTATCAGAATTGGAAGTGGGAAAAAGTGGATTCTACAGAGAAGTATATTCATGCTCTCTGCAGTATATGCACTGAATGCTTGAGCTAATGCATGCATTTTCATGCATGCATTAGTTCAGGTATAACAGGAACTGTTTGGTAAATAATGAAACTCTGACCCTTGGCTACTGTCCACACCTTTCAATAACCCCTGAAAAGACTTGGCTTCACATTATTCTTAAGCTGTTGATATCCTGCCTTCTCTTACATTATACTGTACTTTTTCCTTCCACTGAAGTTTCAATGATTTGACACAGATAGGCAAACAGTGTGTTAAATAACCTGATGAACTACTGTCAGGTAAGTAATTTTAGCCTTAATTGTACAACATGCCCTCAATATACCATATTTATATTTTGATGGGTTTACAGCAATATACATCAAAATGTAACAAATACATATGCTCTGTGTAAAGAGAATGTATCAGTTTGTGGACACACTTATGCTTGTTGTGATACATAGACGATAAGATTACCAGAAAGTATACAAAGCATAAACAAGATCAGAAATCTAATTCAGGGATTATCAAAAAATACATCTGGAAAAAAAAGATAAAAAAGAATGAACCAGCACCTTTCTTTATTATTTGATAAGCATAACATAGAGCCTGGTGTGACTGTTTCATCTAAGGTTTAGTTTTAATTCAGAGAGTAAATAAAAATGAAGGACAGCTTACTTCACCCAGAAGCTGTAGATGTTGACGAGACTTTCTTCATTTTGATCTTGTGGATTCTGCAAAAAGGAAAACAGAAGTTACTGATTACAACGAAGGCTTTTAGTTTGATTTTATATCTATATTACATAATCTATCTATCTTTATATAGCATCTACGCGTTTTTGTCAATTATAATCCACCCTGCAGCTACAACACATTCAACATTGCTGCACGTGCTTATATCGCCGGGCCCCCCCGCACGTTATCTGAGCGTTAACAGTTAATATGATGCTGTAGAAAACAAACAGCGAGTCAGTGGTTACGAGTCAGTACTTACAACTTTAGTCTGCTTTAGGAACTCCTGAGCTGCCTTGGTGAACTTGTTCTCCAACAGGAACGAATAAACACATTTATAAAGATCACTCGGTACAGAGTTTGGCTCCGCCATCTTTACCACGCTCCTTGTAGACAGAAAGGAAGTGACGCAGTCACGGACACCTCATGACGACAAACAGACGATTACATGAAGAGATGGCTGCCTCCGTTTTAAAAAAATAAAGCACAAAAAATTTTTAAAAATATGAAGAATTCGTACTGGTATTGTGATATTAAATTACATATTAGGAGTTCTCCCGATTTTTTATTTAGTAGTATTCGTGCGTCGTGAAGTGTTTTATTTGAAATGTTTCTACAATTGTTTTAATTATATTCCCAGCAGAGTGAGACCTCTGCCTTTTATTTCTGAAATTTACATATAACAAAAGATTGAACATTGAATTGGAAGTTATATATCTATATATATTTAAATGAGATGATAACAAGTGTAATATTGCATTGACGTTACATTTCTAAACCAGCTTTTATTTATATAACATAGTTATTTTTATAAAGTCGTTCCAAGTTGTGCGCATGCGCGTCACAAAAGTGCTTCCGTGTCCCTCGTGTCATAACATGGTGGCCTCCACTGCTTTGACACTAGCTTGTTGTTGAAGGGTTTATAGCTGTGGAATAAGGGGCCATTTGGTGCAAGCATGCCTCGCTACGAGTTAGCGCTGATCTTGAAGGCAATGCAGCGACCGGAGACTGCGGCTGCCCTCCGGCGGACCGTGGAGACCCTGATGGAGCGGGGTGCGGTGGTGAGAGACCTGGAGAACCTGGGAGAGAGGCTCCTGCCTTACAAGATGACCAAACACAATCAGAGGCACAGTAGAGGGACTTACTTTTTGGTGGATTTTTATGCTGCTCCGAGTATCCTTGACGGCTTGCTGGACCACCTGCACCGTGACGTGGACGTGGTGAGACCTGCAGTCCTGAAGAAGGACGAGCAGGGGCCCAAAAGCAGCTGCTGTGGCCCCTCCAAATAGTGTAAGAAGTGGCTTCATGTCTACAATAATATACACTATAAAGTGACACATGAAATATAAAATAATCTATAATATACATAATAAATTGGCACATAAAAAGATATACTGCTATCTTTCTCTTTATATATATATGTGTGTGTATATATACAGATATATAAATACACACACACATACAAGTAAAATGGAAATAATCAATAAAAAAAATTTATGCAAGAATTATGGGGTTGTAAACTAGGACAAAAGGAAATTAGCATAATTTAGCTAATTTTTTTAATAATTGCTAAATCATAATATTGTTTGCAGGATGATATTTTTGTAAAAAAAAAAAGCCTATATTTTGAATTTAAGAGCAAGCTGTTTCTATGCTTGCATATTTTATTTAGTTTAGCTAAAGTCAAGTAGAGTTTATAGACATACACTTTGAGGTAGAAATGAGGGATAATCTTGTCATCCCCCTTTTCTTTAAGATTAAAACAACCACCTCTTTCAATAAATGTGTAGCTCATTCTCTCTCTTTTATGGTAAATAGTTGTTACAGTTAATCCTTGGATTAAAAAAATATAAAAATAAAATAGCAGTAAAATACACAATTTCTTTTTCTTCAAATCTCAATTTTGAGTCCTAGTAAATATTTATATCCTTCTCTACCAGAACTTTTTTTCTAACAGTTGTTTGAGCAAAATATAAAGATCCATACTTGCTTTTTCTGGATTGAAAGTCAGGTCCTGTTGAAATTTTTAAAAGCCTTTTAAGTCAACATGAGAATCAGATTGGCCATAATCATTCTGTATAAAAGGCCTTGAAGGTTTCTGATGAGCTGGATGCGTCTTCCAACTTTTTATTTAAGCAAACAAATACAGTACAAAGCGTACGTGCTATAATATGCAGAAAATAAAAGCTTACAACACATGGTCAGACAATTAAAGTAAAAATAAAAGGTGCTCCTGGATGATGAAGAAGGGGGAAAAATACACATCTCAATATAAGATTGAAAATATTATTTAAAAATAAATACATTTTGCACCTTGATTTTTCCATCATAAAAAGTGTTTTTATTTTGTTTCGTGTCACACAGTGATCAGATAGCAACACTGATTCAAGCAAGCATAAAACTTATTCAACTATTTATATATATATATATATATATATATATATATATATATATATTTTTTTTTTTTTTTTTTTTTGAAACATTCATGAATATCAATGTAACTTCCTGTTTCTCACTAACCACACTTGATCTCATCTCTATCAAACCGAAACCTCTCTTCTGCAAAAAGATGCTTCCTTTTTAATTCAAACATAATGGAACCTATGTTTCTCCCAGTGATAAACTCCACTTCTCCTCAGCTTATTCTCTGCATTTTTTTTTTATATTCTGCCTAGTACTATCGCTCATTGGTTCATAGCAAACATGTCAGCTCATGATTGGTCTAAAAATATTTATCATCTGATTATCTTGATTTGCTGCCATATGTTGCAGTTGAATAGTTTAGGATATGTATGTTACTAAATGTGCTCTGATTTAGAGGTGTGAGTTTCTTGCACATGACTTACTTTTTAGCACAGCTGTATAAATGTGTTTATGTAGAAAGGTTTCTGTGCTGTAAACTTACACTGTCATTTGTTTCACAGGCTTCACTGCTCATCCGGACAGACCACAGTTCTACTTCCCTCACTGACCTCCCATTGCTGATGGATGTGATGTTGTGTAAAATGCAATAATAAATGACTTTACTTTTTTGCAACGTGTTTTATTAATTTTTTGTTGTTGCAGCTTAGAGACAGTTTGAGTCATGGGATCTTTTATAGTCATGTGATAGCAACGCTCTGTTCGTGCTTTTATTCCACACACAGATTTGACATGGTGTTGGTATTTATTTTTATTTCTTTCTGAAAGTGGGTGTTAGACATCCACGATTGATGACTGTTGGTAAAAAATTACCTAAAACTGCCTCTGGGTCTCCTCCAAAAAGCCACGAGATTACTTATTTTGTTTAAAGCATGGTTTGCTTTTTAAAGAAAGCCGCAGTGCAGCTGTTAAACTTGAAAGCCACAACTTAGACAACTGATCCATTCAAGTTGTCTTTTGAGTGAAGTTTGCCTTTCCATCGATATAAAAAAAAACATGGTTTATCATTCAGACTCAAAACACTGAAAAACAATGCTTTGTTTTTTTGCCAAATAAAAAATTCAAGGGAATTTAGCTTTTACTGCAAATATTTTAGTTTCCATCTGTCAGAAGTAAGAGAATTTCTTAATAAAAAGAGACAAACTAAAAGTTGTGCATATTTTCTGGTCAATATTTGAGTTTTTCTGCAAGAAAGGCAAGATTACAGTAAACCAAAGTGTGTATATATAGTATATTTAAAACAACGTTCTGACCGCAGATATTTACAGTGAATAAGCTAATAATACCATTTAAAAAGAATCGCACAATAAAGCATCACAAAAAATAGATAAAATCAAACAGTTATATAAAAAAAATCTGTTAATGTAACAAAGAGAAAAAGCAGCCAAAATTCAGTAAATAATCAAGTGAATGCTTTCTTAATGTGTTATCTTCAAAGCAAAAATAAACATCAATGCATGATTATATTTATGGGTTAAGGGAGGGACATCAAACTCAAGCCCTGAAGGGCTCATATAGAGATAACCCAACAAACAGATATATTACCTCCTCATGTTAAATCAAGTTCTTCAAAGTCTTGCAAATTGGTAATTATTTGATACAGGTGTGTTAAAGCAGAGACGCAGAAGGTCAGGATTCAGGACTGGATTCTGACATTCCTGGTTTAAGGGCAGATTAAAATAATTTGCGTTTCTGAAAACCTTGGAAAGTAATTCATTTTCTACCATCAGAGAAAAATCACACTATTTACACACACAGTTAAATAAATAAATAAATCTCTCAACTGTTTATTTCCCCAGGGAGGCTGATTGAACACACCTGTTCCTCATCAGCGGTGCTCCTTCTTCTTCTTCTTATGGGATTTTATGGCGGTTGGCAGACTTGTGAATTGTGCATTACCGCCACCAACTGATATGGAGTAAAGCAAGAAAACAGGAAACGATTCACCCCCCCCCCCCAAAAAAAAAAAAAAAAAAAACCTGTGTAACTTAAACCAACATAATACTAAATCACATTTGCCTATATAATTTTAATTTACTCTAGGTCATCTTAACTCTGCCAGTTTCTGATGGTCCCATCGGTCCTCCCATCATACTTCCAACCATCTCCCAGTTCAAATCTTTAATGTCCAGATATTTTTCTGCAGCCTTCACTATTATTTAGATTTTTTCCGTTTTTTTTGTTGTCTGTGCAGTACAATTAATTACTTCTACCATGAAAAGAACAAAATTTGTCTTTTTAACAATAAGTGAGTCTTCATCAATTTTTAGAGATTTCTCTAGAGGTTTGGAATTTGCCGTGTGTTGAACTGTAGGTTTGGTTTTTTCTGACTGAGATGGGATCCTTTTTGCAGCTTCAGCGTAGGTTATTCCGAGCTCAAATTTCATTTTTTTAATTTCCTCAGACCTTTTGCTTGCTTCACAGCCGCGATAGGCAGCAGTATGTTCTCCACCACAATTACAGCATTTTATTTTAGCTTCTTTTCCACATTTTCCGTACTCATGTTCTCCTGCACACCTTCCACACCTCTGTTTCCCTTTACAAACTGCTGCAATGTGACCGAATTTTTGGCATTTGAAACATCTCAATGGTGGAGGATTGTAGATTTTGACATTATAGCTTATGTAACCGATGAATACTTTGCTTGGTAATTGCTCTACTTCGAATTTAATTAGCACAGATAAACTGTCAGATCTTTCTCCGTTTCTTGTTGTTTTTAACCGTTTTACTTCTTTTACTTTTGCACCGCTTATGTTTTCCAGAATCTCTTTTTCAGAAATTTTTAGAGGAACTCCTCCAATGACTCCCCTGCTGATCTTTTTGTTCTCCATTAAGCTGCACTGAACTCTTATCCCGTCAATTTTGTTGATCCGTATTGGATTGCCTTGCTGGGCGCTGTCTCTGCAGTTAATTAGCAGGTCTCCACTGTACAGAATTCTGGCACCTTTGACTTCTCCGACAAGTTTATTGATGGTTTTTGTTAAGTGAACCGGATTCCAATTTGTAAAAGAGTCTGCCTGATTAACGACTTTGAATATGACTTTGAATTCATTTTGTTGTGCTGTGGAATGTATGGAATGATCATCACTGGATTGTTCTGAACTAGATTCCCCTTGAACTGATCTCTGTTTTTTCCGCTTTTTCTAATTTTTTGATGTTGCTATCTTCCAACCTTCATTGTCACTATTTCCCTCTTCCATCCCACAAGAATCGCTTCCTGTTTCCTCACTACTCACGGCCCAAGACCAGGGGCGCAGATAGGTTTTTGAAACTGTGGGGGACAGTTACTATAGGGCTTGGTCATCGTGACGTAAGCACTTCGCGTCGCCGCCATGTTGAATGCGTCTTTTACAGCAGCTCAGACTACTGCCTATGACTACCGCGTACTGTACTCCCTCTCAGCCGTGTTTTAATTTGATTAATTTCACCTTAACTTGATTTCAACCATGGTAAACCGTTGCTGTATTGTGGGCTGTAACAGCTCAACACATGATCGCCATGGAAACATAGAAAATGGGTTAACTTTCCACCGCTTTCCTGACTGGAGGCGTAACCATGGAGACCAAGTGTCAGAGATAAAGAGTCGTCGGCTAGCTTGGATCGCGGCTGTAAGACGACCGAACATAACTTTCCACAGTATTCCGATGTCAATGAGAGTGTGTTCCCTGCATTTTCATTCTGGTAAGTTAAAGATGCACGGTTTTATTTTATAGCCTACTTTGTTTCTTTCCTTCAAAGTTGGGATCTTTTACGGGAAAATAATAAAAACGGCAGCGGGAAAAGGCTCAAATACGCGAGAAACCCGGAGGGTTGGCAGTTAACGTTACTAAATACACCTTTGAAACACATAGCAGCTAGTTAAAAGTACATTACATGCGTGAGTGGTTGTTAGCCTTAGCGGTTAGCAGTTGCTAAACTAGCAGGTTCCAGAGCCCCTCTGATCACAGCTTACCTTCGTACGGATTACTGTGTTCCCACTGTTTGCTGGCTTTATGATCTGCAGCTCCTGAACCCATCCATTCATGAACTGCACATGAGACTCCAGGGACTTGTAGCTTGGGAACTGTTTTGAAGTATAGGCGCTCACTCATTGGTGCTCCACTCATTGTTTGGAACTTTATATGGATCCAAATGATTAACAATGCTGATTTTGTCACCATACCGGTCCCTGGCTTCTCTATTTAATGTGTCCCGGTAAATTCCAGATCCTTTTCGGGATTTTAACATCTTTTTTCTCTCTACTTCTGTCTCTTCTTTCAACAACAACGTTGTGTCAGAGCTATGCTTACGTTTGCGTAGCAGTCAATATGGCTGCGACGTCCCACAATGCAACGTGGATCCTGAGCCCTATTACTGGCTATTACTCAGCTATGACAACCCATCAATCTTAATTGCCCATCATTGCAAGAAAATAACATGTATTGGTACCAAGTACTCACCAAACATGCCACATGACGTGTGAAAAAAAAAAGGTTTTATTTAAACATGGACTGACTTTAAGTGCAGGCTGTAAACACACAGAAACACGAACAGCAAAGCCTACATATATACAAAAACAAATTTGTAAATAAGTACTTTACATGGCTTTTCAATAAATGGCCTCAAATGAAGAAAGTTGTGTGTCTACTTTGTCAAGAACTCTGTAGAACTCCACTTTGTGGTACTCCACAGCAGATTCTGGCCTGTGTGCAGGTGCTGGCCCAGAATATCTCTTTGGGGGCCTATGTGTTAGAGACAGCTTCTCAGCCATATCCACTGCTTCCTTAAAGACTGCCTCAAAGTGGGCTGGCTTTCTTTTGTCCCGTAATCTCTCTTGGACAACTGAGACTGCAGAGACCATGCCCTCCAATGTCTGGGTGCTTTTTTGGAGCGATGTATTCAGCACTTCCAGTTCGCTCATTACATCTAAGGCCAGTGAGCCCCAGTAGCCCCAATTTCAGTAAAATCTCAGGCTTTTAAATGTTGTAAAATCACCCATAAGTTTTAGGTGTTTTAGTCCTTTATAATTAAATTTATACATTCAAAAAACATAAGGAAGTTATTATCAACGTCTCACTCTACTTTACAGCTTTGTATTAACATTGCTTTAATGTGTGTTATTGTGTACAGCTGGGGATGTTAAGGGCCATGTTAATTATAGATTAAATAATTTACTGTTCTGTAGTTTAAGCAATTGTCATATTTGTAACATCACTAGTCTTTCCTGTGACATGCACCTTTTATTTATTTATATATACACACACACACATTATATATATATATATATATATATATATATATATATATATATATATATATATATATATATATATATATATATATATATATATATATATATATATATATATATATATGAGAGAGAGATTCTTTCCTCCGAGTTACAGTGACATAGACAAACTTGAAGATACATGACATCCTCAAATTTCTATTCTATTAAAATTTCTGTATCTGTATAATGGGTCTGTTCTATATGTTGTCTTCTCAATTCAGAAGGCCCCATGCCTGTCTTTGCCTAGGGCCCAAAATTTCCAAAATCCGCCCCTGTGTAGTGGAATTTGTCTAGCTTTGAAGTTCGTTTTTCTCATGATTCAACCTGTAACAACCTAAACCATTTGGCTTGGCATAAATACGGATTCAAGTAGCCTACTGTAGCCTACATATTTCTGAAAGACCCCCAACAACTCCAGAAAAAGTCGGAACAGTCGATTTAATTATAAATAAATAAATGCCAGTCGATTCCCCCTGCCTCCCGCCTTATGACATTGGCACCTCTCTTCACGCTATTCTCACTGACCGTCTCCACTCTTTTTTCCACGGCGACATCGAACAGACAACCAAAAAAATGCAAGGTGATATGATACCGCAATGAACAGTTTACTTACAGTTGGTGCTTTTCAAAAAAAGGATGCAATTGTTTTCTGTTTTTTCGGTTTGGCTGGCCTCATGTTGATGTCCGGACTCCGGAATTGGGAACTGTCCCGCCACTACTGTCTGTCTGAGTAACCATGGAAACCAGGCTCGAGACGTAAATGCCAGAGACAGGATAATTTTTAGATTAGAATCTCTACGACGCAGGCAGCCTGCAGTTAAACAAAACGATTGCCCGTCTATGATCTGACTGTTTTATGTTGTTGTTGCAAAGCAGTAAATTAGAAAAAGCTTTTTGATTTTCTGTGAGTTTCGCCATATGTTTTTTTTTTTTTTTTATAAAAGTGGGGGGGACGGATTGAGGGTCATTCGAATCTGTGTACGTCAGAACACCCCTGACGTACACGCTATCTGCGCCCTTGCCCAAGACATTTCTCCATAAGCAGCTTCAAAACACGCGCCATGCACCAAACGACCATCCACATGCAATCCTCCCAGCGGTGCTCCTGGGCACCATGGCAACAAAATGACCTAGAAGAGGCCAATGAGGGAAAAAAAAAAAAAAAAGCATATTCTTCTTTTCCATTATGGTGGATCGCAAGCAACTTTAAGGTGCATAGCGCCACCTACTGTACACTAGTATGTAGCAACATTACAAATAAAAAAAATTTAATTTTGTATTCTGTAGATAAATAATGCTTTCCTTAATCCATGAATATCCTTTATATTTCCTTCATTTCCAAGTATTCTCCATTTTTTGCCTGTCCTCCCAACCATCCTTCTCAATTTCTCTCCTTTTCATGTTCATAAGTTTTAGTTAATCAGTACATGTTCTACAATCTTTTTTTCCACATCCTTCACATTTATCATCATTTTTCCTCCCTATTAAATATAAATTGTCATTTAAATAGGTATGACCCACTCTTAATCTGATGATTATTACTTCAAAAGAAGCATATTAAATTCAGATAGACTGATCAACCACTTTTAAATCAACTGCATTAAAAAGTAATTGATTTATTGTTTAGAAAGGAATTTAACATTTTATAAAAATAGAAATACCTTTATAGTTTCATAGTAGGAAAAAGTGGGCGGGAGACAATACCCTACACACAATGTTAAAAATAAAAAAAACGCTGAAATCAATGTTTTTTGCATTTAAGTTTTAAAATTTGTAATTAAGAAACATTTAAATTATATATGCAATTGGGGTAAGATTATGATTTTAATTGTTAAGGTAAAGGTACCATGATGTGTTGATAAAGCATGCAAATTATAAGAATAAGGCACTTTAACGGGGATAATCAATTACGGAGCTTGGTAAAAGTAATATCCCTTAAAAATGGCTTCAAAAAATGGCTTTAAAGTCTTGAAGCGATGACCTTTGATACTGTGCTGATGAATCGCTGACGGAGAATCACATGAGGGCAGTCAGCTGACAGAGAGCTGAAATAAAAGCATTATCACGCCGCTCCGCTCGGTAGTTTCCACCTTCCTCCTCTACAGTCCAACTGGAAACATCGCAGTCATGCTGGTGTTAACTCTGCTCTTCGTGTCCTCAGGTAATGGTGACGTTAGATACACTTCACGGTTGTTTTAATCGTTTTTGTGTTTCTTTTGTCAGGCCACGGTAGCTGCTCTCTGATTGTGTAACTTAGTGCGGATCTTTTTCAGGACGCGGAAGTTTTTCATGAGTCGCTGTTTTTGTAAACAAGTTAGCATGGAGGGCAAAGGCTCGTTATATCAGGTGTTGTTTTTTTATTTTTATGAGACACCAGTCAATGATTAATCTATCGCTTCGTCTGAAAATATAAAACGAGTCATAGCTAGTTATAAGACAAAATGTTTTTTGAGGTATATGCTGTAAGTGTTTAGCTAATATTAGCCTGCTAGCCAATGTAGCTAAGCTAGCTAGCTAACGGTTTCACAACTGGGTTTATTTTTTGTTTCCTTTTTAAATATTAGGGCTTAATTTTTAATTTAGTATTTTTCACTAGCCTTTCTATATATTTGAATATATATATATATATATATGTTTTTTCAGAGTTCTTTTCTGTTTTGAGTACCTTTAGCTGGCATGTTCCTCTTTATCAACCGGTATTCCGGTAATTTTCAGATATAAATAGCTCAGTGTGACAAATGACTTCTAAGAAAAAAAAACTTAAAAAAAAGGCAGTTTATACTAATCTTAATCTTTTTGGGTCTAAATTTAATACAGCTATTCTTATCGGTACAAAAGCAGCCATCTGGCCTTCTAATTTTGCTTAAGGCTGTGTATTTGGTGCTTATTCTCAATTAAAATAAAGCATTATTTGATTTAACTTTTTTGCCTTTTTTAAGCTATCCTAGCTTCAACATGTCAATGTTTTACAGAACTTGCAAACTTTTCTCTTCAGTCCCACTACTTGTTTGCTAAACTTGCTGTCATCTGATTGCAGTGAACAGCTGTGGGTTGATAAAATGCATAAAGTAATAAAAATGTTGTTTTTGCTCACTTACAAAAGTTTACAGTAATCCTAAAGCATGTGCTGAAAGTTTCCGTCATTTGAACAGTTGGTTTGCATGAGAACAGCTTGTTTTGTCTGATTGCTCATGTGACTGAAATAGTGGTTGGGAGGGGCTCTGGCCTCTTTGCAGTGAATGATCAGTGGTTTCAGTGTTGCAAGTTCTTATTCATCAGTCAAGTCCATATTTTGTCCTGTCTGTATCCCGATTAGCTGTTCTTCTGAGTTTATTTAGTTCAAGGAGGAAACATTTCCTTTGCAGTATCTAAATGTCACTTTCAGGTCTTGCTTCTCTTTGTAGGGAAAGATCCCTCATTAGACTGGGAAGTGTTAAAGCTGTGCTTTTCGTATTTTACCACATGATTGGTTTCACTTCACTAAAAGAGTGAGAATGAGTCCCTGTAAGGATGGGATGATATCATTTTTGTATTTGGGTTATTTGGATATATATATATATATATATATATATATATATATATATATATATAAAAATCTGCATTACTCTTAAGCAGTATTAGTTTTACAACCGTACTTTACTGTTTGTATTTTTAATGCCACATCAAATTTAACTGATCCAATTGGCAAATCATGCTGATTTTTATTCATGAATCCTGACTGCCAAGTATTTGCCCTCAGGCCATACACGCAAACTTGCTTAAGCAATGAACACACCAATTGGTTTGCACAACATCAGGATTTGACTGCATGTTAAAGGATTGACCGAACATGAGGCGTTGATGGATTACTTTTAATTCTTAAAAAATCTGCATCTGAGCCCAGCGTTACATCTACAGGAGCAGAGGCCCCATTTAGACACTGGTCTGTCAAATCTACATTTGGTTCCTCTTCCCTGATGCTCTCACTGGTTGAGCAATAACATAACTGAAAGTAGCTTTTGAACTTCCTCTTGGAAACTTTACTTCTGAAATCCACTTAAATGCACTAAACTGTACATGTGTATACTTGTTGCCTATTTAGTACTATTTGGGTGTATTTACTTATATTGTGGGTGTGGGAACAAAAGGGTGGTCTTTATGTGGTGGACCCCCACCCACTTGTTTTTTTTTTTTTTGCTGGGGAGTCAGTTTAGAGGTAGCATAATTTCACTTTAGGGTAAGATTAAGGGTATACTTTTTAGCATAACTGTCAGATTAGAGCATAAACATAGTAAATAAAATGAAGGCCAGTTCATGTTAAACCTTATATAGATGGAAGTACAAACCTGTGTCTGTTCCTGTTTGGCCCTCTGAGTGAGAACCATCTTATTTTACAGCAACATTGGTTCCACTTGTTGTGAAGTGGAACTGTTCCTGAGGTTTTAGGCTACATTGATAGTTGTTTATGATTTAGTGTGTAGTAGTAACGGTCAGTTTCTGGCCATATAAAAGTCTGTAAATGACCGAAAATCAAAGGATGGATTTCTTTACTGTTGGGAAGTTCTTATTTTATGATAATTGAACCTTCTCCTACCTTTTCTTTCTGGTTTATGGTGATGTGTTCTAATAACTGTTTTCTTTCAGTTGTAGGAACGCCTCTGCTGGGCACTGAGCAGTGTGCTCGCGGCCCCCCCTACTGGTGCCAAAATGTAAAGACTGCATCTCTGTGTGGAGCTGTTCCTCACTGCCAGCAGAATGTGTGGAACAAACCCCAGATGGTGAAGTCTCCTAATTTCTGATTCTTTTTTATATTTTGCTTTTTGCATTAAAAATATTAATTAAGTAATCTCTAATATTTACCAAGCAGTTTTGTCTGTCTTCAGAAATCTGTACCATGTGACCTGTGTAAGGAGGTGTTGATGGTTGTCGGACAGCTGCTGAAGGATAATGCAACTCAGGTAAGGTTAAACAGAATCCAGAGGTTCTTCAATCCTTGCTGAGCTTTGAAAGCAGCATCAGAGGCTGATATGTTTGGCTTCTTTGTCACAGGCTGAAATTCTGGGATACCTGGAGAAGGCATGTCAGCTCATCCCTGACCAGAGTCTGAGTGCTGAGTGCAAAGAGATGGTGGACAGCTACTATCCCATCCTTATTGGGATAATTACTGGGGAAGTGGTGCGTAATGTTTATCTAAATATAATGCTTTAATTAGCTCTGCTACTATTGTGTAGTATGTCGGTTTATTATTCCTGTCAGACTGAGTAAATAATAGTCCATCTGGTCATTGGCATGCACTGGATGGAGGGTTTAGAAGCAGCTGTGTGTCCTGCTGAAAGGGAGCTATTGATGGGGAAGTTGGTTAAAATCTAAAGGGCAACAGGGCTCCCTTTGTGGAGCCTTTAATATAAAATCGAAAGAAGGAAAAACTTCCCATCCACTAATACATTTAAACCACTCAACATTGTGTTTTTTTTTTTTGTCTCTAAAGGAAGATCCTGCTGTAGCGTGTGGCGCCATGGGTTTGTGCAAGTCTGAGCAGATGGCTCTGGCCAAGCTTCATGCCCAGGAGGAGCTGGTATCCAATGAAATCCCTCAGATGGATCTTTCCCAGCGTGTGGCTCCCTTCCTGCTCAATGTTCCTGGGCTCCTGTATCCTCAGGAGAACCTCAAACAGGAGACTCCAAAACAAGCGGTTCCAGAGCAGGTGCTTCTAGTCACATCTTTAATCTAATATCACCAGTTTTTCTGTCTTTTTATTTAAATATTTCTTTTTTTTTTTTTTTGTAGGATGGTGATGAGGTGTGTCAGGACTGCATCAAGTTCCTCACTGATGCTCAGGCAGAAGCTAAAGCCAACACCTCTTTCATCGACTCCCTGATTCAGAACATTGAGAACCAGTGCGACCTGTTGGGACCAGGCCTGTCTGATATGGTAAAGACTTGTTATGCTCAGAATTCAGATCAATCAAATTCCTGTGGAGATGTTTTTATTTATTGTTTACCTACCATTTCTCATTGCAGTGTAAGCAGTATGTTGGGCAGTACGGACCTGTTGTTGTGCAGCAGCTCATGTCCATGGTGAGTCCTCTAGGTGTCTAGAGTCCCCTCTCTGTCTCTTAAAGCCAGGCTGTAACATGGATCTAATGCCTAAACCTGAGTACTAATGGCTGATCCTTTGTTTTTGCTGCTGAGCCCATGTTGACTTCTGCAGCAGTTTTCACTGTATGAAATGCTCCCAAAAACCCCTTATTTGTTTGTATTTCATTTTGCTTCTGTTCCCCATTTGCATTTATCCATGTAATTCTGTTCTTTTCCCTATTTTTACCCTGGGTTCATTTGCTGCTCCCAGGACCAGGTAGGTCATTCTGTGTTCAGCCTTTAGTCTTTAAAGCCTTAGTGCTTCTTGCTGTTGTGAAATCCACCCTAGCACTAAACGCCTGCCACTGATGCATGGGAATGGTAACCTCACACCCTTGAAATGGTTTTAGCTTTGGGCTATTCACCACACTTGAGTCTTTGTAGGAGCGTTGCATAAAGTGAGCAGACTAAAAGCTTCAATTTACACACGCATGCAACTCACAGGGGCATCTCTGTTAACATTGAATATAAAAATGTGAAGCTGTTGTTGTATAGATGTATTTGATGTTAACTTTGACAGATTGCAGCTGATTCGAAAATCCAAAATAATTCTCAGTTGGAATATTGGGCAGCGTATGGCCTCTGTATTTGTTGCACACGTTGTTAACGTGGCATAGCATTGAGCTCGTTTGTCTGAAATGAGGCAAGAAACCCAAACTCTCTGTAAAGATTCTGATCTTTGGAGTGTCAAAATGGGGAGAAAAAAATCTGATGCTGAAGAGGCTTTCAATAAATTCTTGAGCAGTTAGGAACATTTTTATCTGCATCAACAGTTAAAGGTGTAGAAATATTCCAAAATCTAGAGTGTCAATCAGGAGAGCAGGACAGTGAGTACAGAATCCAGCTGGAGGAAACATTTTCAAACTCTTGAATAGAAAGTTTAAACCTTTTTTTTCCTTTTTTTCTTTTCCTTCTGTTAAACTTTCCATTGCTTTTATATGGCTCCCTGAGCAGCCAGCTATAATGGTCTTTAATGGCTGTCTTTTGGTGCAGGTTGTGACATTCCCAAAGCTGTTTCTGGGTTTTCTTTAACATTTGGACTTTTTGGGAAACTGAGTTTTGGGTTTTAATTAGCTGTAAGCCATAAATGGGAATAACATCTATATAGCAAAATCTTAGCATTTATTTTATCATCTTGATCTAGTTTATTGAGATGCTCCTATTTGCATCTTGGCAGTAGTTGGCATATCGGGCTGAGATACACTTTCCTCCTATAAAACAGGAGTGGTGGTGGCCTCAGGGTTACTGTGTTTTAGCTGGTTCTCCTGTTGTAAACCCTATTGGTTGGTTTGACCGTGTTTGGACTGGTGTTGTGGCCTAACGTGTGCATAGTGCATGACTGGCAGTGCTGTACGACGTGCTCACTCTAACCACATAAGCTAGGGTAACCTATTCTAAGCTAATGGTCCTTTTCTGTCCCCAGCAACCAAAGGAGATCTGTACTCTTGCTGGTTTCTGTGCTGCCATGAAGAAGTCTGTCCCCATGTTGAACCTTCAGGCTGCCAAGACTGTCCCTGCTGCCAAAACTATAATGGCTAAGGTTTTCCCTGCTACCAAACTTGAGCCTGCAGTTTCCAAGGTAGGTGTTGGAAGCCATGTTTTAAGGGAGTCTTATTATCAGAAATAACTCGTCCTGCATGATTAAACGCTGCCTAATTCTTGTTTCAGCCGATGGTGCGTGTCCGTGAGTCTGGAACTTGTGCCATCTGCGAGTTTGTGATGAAGCAGCTGGAGTCCATGTTGGAGGATCATACAACAGAGGTGGGGACTTTTGACAGGTTCTAGTGATTTAAAACCATCAGTGCTGCTTTTCCTGGCATCCGTCTGATCCTTGTATCTAATGGCAGGAGGAGGTCGTTCAGGCTGTGGAGAAGGTGTGCACGTTGCTGCCCTCCTCTCTGACCGCTCAGTGCAAAGACCTGATTGAAACGTACGGCCAGGCCATCATTGAGCTGCTGGTGCAGCAGGCTGACCCAAAGACTGTTTGCACAATGCTGGGACTCTGCAACGATGCCAGCCGGGCATTTGTTGGTAAATCACAGCTTTAAAATCCACTCTGTTTTCATGTAAACCGTGGAGTTGTGCAATGCAGTGCTCAAAGCTGTTCAACTTGTGCAAATGAACTGTTTAATCTCCTCAGTTGCCCTGGATCAGACTCGTTTTAAGGTTGGCGGCTACTGTGATGTGTGCAAGATGGCGGTGAGTTACATCGATGGCATCCTGCAGAAGAACGCCACAGAGGTAGAGATTGAAGAAGCTGTGAAGAAAGTATGCAGCTTCCTTCCCGACGCTTACAGGACTGAGGTAAGTCACATCTCCTATAGTCTTTAACATTTCCTTAAATCAGGCATCTAACATCCAGAGCTTTTCTAGTGTGACCAGCTGGTGGAGCAGTACGAGCCGATGCTTGTCCAACTGTTGCTCCAGATGCTAGACCCAGACTTCGTTTGCACAGTAAGTGCAAAAGCTCTCGTGAATTTTAGTTTTTGTAGATTTATTCTGAGGCAGATTTCCTCTGGATGTCATGGATTTTAATCTAAATGGCAAGTCTGATCTCTGTGTTGCAGAAATTGGGAGCTTGCCCTGAGGCTGAGCGGAAGCTGCTGGGAACAGAGAGGTGCTCTTGGGGACCTGGATACTGGTGCAAGAACATGGAAACAGCTACAGAGTGCAATGTGAGTACACAAGTCCTTACATCATAAATGACTTGTATTAGGGGGGCAGATTTAAACTTTTCATTCTTGACACTTTAGTTTAAAACGGGATGATATGAGCTTAATTGACTTCCTATAAATGCTTTATTTTCTACTCTTGTACTAAAAAAAAAATCACTAAACCTCAGTGAAGGTTTATTGCACTGCATTTTAGAGCTTGTAGTGTTTTTGTCTTTAGGACATCCATCTAAACCTGCTCTTCTGTCTTCCAGGCTGTGGCTCACTGCAGGCGCCATGTGTGGGTGTAAAGAAAAAACTGACCTGTAGGGAAATAAAATCACTGTAGTGCTGCTTTCCACTATTAATCCATGTCTAATAGGCTAAAACTGCTGTGATGTGACAAAATTAACTTTATGATTTCAATGATGGCATGGTGGAAAGGGACTGGGACTATTTGTTTGTTCTCAAGTTTGGGACTTGGAAAGGGGTTTGAAGTTGTGGATGGGGGGGTGATTATGTATGTTGGCCTTAAACTTGGCCTCTGAGTTTTGTACTAGTTTCTATATTCTGTATTGCCTGCTTCACATGTCAAATTAAACTAGCCCCTCCCCCTTTCTAAACCAAACTGAATGCATCTGCAAACCAGTTTGTTTCTGGCTTGTCCTTATTTTAGCAGTGTGTACATGTGATCTTTGAGGATCTTGGTTTTGTTTTATAGGGGCTGATCGGGGGACTTCCTCCCAATGTTTGCACCTTTGATTTACATATTTCTCCAATGCACACAATCTCAAATCTGTTTTAAGCAACTGGTTGTCAGTTAATTTGTGAGTTTGACAATTAAAGTGATTCCAAACCTACCTGCTGCCTCCTCTCTCTTTGCTTTTTTAGTAAAAGATATTCATGGTAACATTTTTAAACTTTTTTTTCTTTTTTAAATGAGGCTGCAATTATTGCAATGACTAATATCTGACATTTTGTAGGAAAAACGACTTTAAAGTACCTAATTGCACCAGTGCAGAGCTGAGATCAAATATACCTGGGTCTCACCACATCTTTATATATTCTACTGCTTTTAGCTTGGTGTACTTGAATCCAAATTGCTCTTCTGACCTGCACAGATTTCCCCTTCAGGGATAGAAGTTTGTTCTAAAGCCACTTTTACTCATTTCAAAGTGTTTTGGAAAAGCATCTGTCCTGACCTTAGACTTGTGTACAGAGCTTATAGTGAGAGCATGGAACCCTACAGACCTGATCCAAACAAGCTTACTGTAGAAAACAAATTTATTTCTTTGCAGATTTTACAAATGTTTTTTTTACATTGGGTATATTTGGATATAAATTCATTTTCAAGTATTTAAAGTGACATACCACCATATCTGATTAATTAATCCTGAAGATACTGCCTCCCATATGTAAAGGTAGAAAGAGGATTCTCTCCTGAGAATTGGCACAGACTATATTTGAAATGATGAGAGATGGGGGGGGAGCAACACTTTGGTTCAGTGGAAATAAAATGCTTGATTGCACACAGGCTGTAGTGTTCCCTCACTACAAAGTTTGAAATACCACCAGTTCAGATATTATGCACAATGAGAACAGAACATGCAGATCCAGCCGCTAGTCCCAGAGAGAGAAAGAATGACATGACCACTCCTGTAGCTTCTGCCTGCTCCCGGGGAACCACCTTTGGTCCATAGATCATAGGCAGCGTGCCCAGGTATCCATTAGAGAGACCTAACAGGCAGTTAAAGATCACAGGGTACACATCACTAGGGAACAGCACCGTATGAAGATGGTCCCGTGGCTGGTAGTTACAGAACATGAGGAGTGGCACCATTACAGAGCGACACAGCACCAGAGCGGGCAGGACTCTGCTGGTGGGACCGGGGATCTGCACCCAGGCCGTCGCCTGCCTGCCACAGAAGTCTCCTACATTATAAAGGAGGAAACTGGTCAGAGGTACGAAGTACGTTGTCGTCCAGGGGCTGCCGCTGTCTGCATTCACAGACTGGATCCCCGATGAGATGGTGGGGAATACAGAGATTGTGATGAAGAAAACATAGAAGACGCAAAAGCCAAGTATTCCAGCCTTTCTAATGATGGGCTGCAGCGGTGGGACTGTAGCGGCGTGGTCCTCAGTGAGCGCCCCGGGCCTGGCGCAGCTCTTCCCCAGCATGTAGTGTCTGACAGAAGAGATGGGAGATTTTATTTCACTGATTTTTCCACAAGTTAAAGAACATTAACATTTCCAAACATGGGAGGGAAGAAAAAAAAAAAAGTTTAGCAAGAAGAAATATTTGGATCTTTTTACCTTGAATATGCAAACTTGGGCAAAAGCAAATAGGAGGTGATGCAGATGAGGATAAAGACGTCTGCAGTCAGGAAATAGGCCAGAGCGTTGCTGGTCACGTCCTCAGCCACACTTAGGGTCACTATTGATGCTACCGCAGTTAAGGTTCCCCCCATGGCCTGACCTAGCACCACAAAACAGACATTTATGTACAAAAGAAGCTCTGTACTGTTTACATTTGAAGAAAAAAAATATATATATGAGGGCAATAAGTGAAAATACCAATATATGGTTAATAAAAAAACATTTTGTTACAAAATAAATACAACTGGAAAATAAAGTTTTAATACTTTAAATCTTTATAAACATTAAACAAAATAACTAAATACAATTGTTATTCAAAGCTTTAATTCCCTATAAGTTTGTAAATAATTATTGCAGTACTTATGCTATAGTTATTTGGTTAATCTGTTTTCTGTTTCAGTCATCAAACATGTAAACCCTGCAGAGGAGTAAAATCCTTTATGAGATAAGTCATAGGGATAGATCTTTTTTCCCCAAAATGACACCATTTACTAAATAAATACATTATAAAATTGTTGCTTAAATGTGTCATTAGTTATTTAGCATTGAACATTAAAGGAATAGTACACCCAAAACATGATTAGCCTTCATTTTCTACTCACCCCCATGCTGAACAACACTCTGGAGTACTTTTTTGATATCACAAATGCATCTGGAGATCTGGGAGGCTTCTTGCTGTCTGCTGACATTCAAATAATGGAGGTCTATGGTGCCCGAGGCAGAAAGGTCCATAAAAGTCCACAAAAACGTGTCAATATTCCTCCATACTGCTCGTCCAATGTAATCCAAGTGTCCTGAGTGGGTAGCATCCAGAATTTACTCGAAACGAAGTCATTTAGAACGTTTTAGAGCCTAAACAGTAGTGTATAGGATTTCCTAATAGCGCCCCCATGCGCGCTCACGATTCTACAGAAGCCGGCAGACCAAACCAGCGCATTCAGCTCGGCAAAGAACTCATGCTCTTCCTCATCACTGAAGTCCTCAGACATTTTTCTTTCGTTGTTTCTTTCTTTGCACAGGTAAACAGCACATTTCTTCTTCTACGCTTGCATTATCGGCAGAGCAGACGCTGAATGCGCACTTTCTTCCGGTTTGGTCTGCCGGCTTCCGTAGAATCGTGAGCGCGCATGGGGGCGCTATTAGGAAATCCTATACACTACTGTTTAGAATCTAAAACGTTCTAAATGACTTCGTTTCGAGTAAATTCTGGATGCTACCCACTCAGGACACTTGGATTACATTGGACGAGCAGTATGGAGGAATATTGACACGTTTTTGTGGACTTTTATGGACCTTTCTGTCTCGGGCGCCATGGACCTCCATTATTTGAATGTCAGCAGACAGCAAGAAGCCTCCCGGATCTCCAGATGCATTTGAGATATCAAAAAAGTACTCCAGAGTGTTGTTCAGCATGGGGGTGAGTAGAAAATGAAGGCTAATCATGTTTTGGGTGTACTATTCCTTTAATGATAAAAATGTAAAAAAAAAAAAATTTTTTATAGAAACAAGAAATTCGGATTAACCTTTCTTTCCTGTATATTAATGCCATCTGCTGGCCAATGTTTAACATTGCATTTGTATGAAACCACAGCAAAATGACATGAAATAATATAGTGCTGTTATGACAACTCAGTGCATACTGACATTTTATTTTTTTTAAATATCCCCTTTAAAAAGGAAAATAATTAGAAATATTGCAAGACAGACTGAAATAAATAACTGCCTTTACAAAATAGGACATTTTGAGAGAAGTGGAAAATGCGTAAATACGCACCCACTGTAGAAAAATCTGAAAAAGTGCTGATTAATTACATTTGGGGAATTTTCGAGTGTTATTTTGCTGAGTTTAGCTTTAGGTTTGGAGAAGAATCCACAGACAACTGATTTCCCAATCACTTCTCACTGACTTGGTCATCAGAAATAAAAGTTTTTTTTACATACAATGAGGAAAATAGGTATTTGAACATCCTGCTATTTTGCATGTTCTCATGGAGGGGTCTGAAATTGTCATCGTAGGGGCATGACCACTGTGAGAGACATAATCTAAAAAATAAAAAAAATCAGAAATCACAATGTATTATTTTTAAAGTTATTTGTGTGATAAAGCTGCAAAAAAATATTTAAAGTTCATATTTGTTACAGTAGCTTTTGCTTGCAATTACAGAGGTCAAACGTTTCCTGTAGTCTTTCATCAGGTTTGCACACACTGCAGGAGGGATTTTGGCCCATTCCTCTACACAGTTCTTCTCTAGATCAGTCACGTTTCTGGGCTGTCACTGAGAAACAAGGAATTTGAGCTCCTTCCAAAGATTCTCTATTGGGGTTAAGTAGGGTGACCATATTTTCATTTGGGAAGGATACCTTGTAGCGGGGGGCGGGGGGGGGGGGGGGGGGGGGGGGGGGCGGAATGAGACATTTGAACTATAAATAGTGGGAACTATAAATCTGATAGGAGTTTAATTTTTTTATTGTTGTTTTGCACAATATGCTTAACTAAGTATTTTTTGTTGTTGAATATTAGAGATTTTGCAGATACATTTTGTAGATACATTGTTTTGATTTACTTATATATTTCTAACCCTTTTATAGAATAGAATAGAAAATCCCTTTGTTGTCCCACAATAGGCAAATTTACAGCAGCAGAAAGATTATTGAAAGTGGTCACACAAATGAGGACCTTACAAAAATGTATAAGAATAACATAATAGGGAAGAGTTAAAATATAAAATTAAATACTGTAAAGTGTTTTAACAATATAAAACTGGGGAATAAATAACCAATATGCAGCTATGGACATTTTTACAGTAATGGATATTTGAAAATAGCAGCAACATCAGAGATGTGCAAAATGACAGCAGCATGTTATTTAACTGACTAAGGTTTCTATCATTACATTTGATTTGATTGGTTCCTGCTCCCGGTGGTTGGAACCTTTATTCCACTCTGGATTCTTGTGAGTGTAGTCTTTGTTCACTTTAACTTTTTAAAAAATAAATAAATAAACAAACAGTTTTGAAAACCTCAGTATTCATTCTTTTCCTGCTTTGTGTGTCAACTTTCACGGTTGCTAAGCAACAGAGCATACGGCGGTAAAACCCGCCGAAGGGAGGACCTGTTCGAATTTACAGCCAAAACTCTTCCGGTCTCCTTATTTTCAAGGACTTCGAAAGATCCAGTCTAGGTAGATCGCGTCCTTGGAGGATGCGTCCTAAGTTTTCGAACAGAGCCTCTGATTAAGAACAGGGCTGCCCGCACTGACGCGGCTCAGGGATTACGTCACACGGAGCGTTGTGCGCAGTGAAATCAGGACATTTCCTCACTTTCTAAAAAAAACCCGGGACGCCCGGGACAGGACGTGAAATACGGATATGTCCCGGGAAATACGGACGTTTGGTCACCCTAGTTTAAGTCTGGGTATGCTACGGCAGAACCTTGATATGCTTCTTCCAGAGCCACTCCTTGGTTATCCTGGCTGTGTGCTTT